TTAGAGATCACCCAAATCTCATAGACTATGACCAGCAGTCTGACTCATATAGGTGTGTTTCTTAAAATATGTTCTATAGGACAACATCTTTGCTTTAGCAAGCTACTTGGAACACATTAAGGTAAAAAACAACATGCCTTACATAAAGGAAAGATATGCATCAGAAATGTGTCTTACTAAGGATCTTTTCTCATAATTTACTACTAGCTTGTTTCACCATCCTACTTCACGAAATCTCCGATCACATAGAATAGGTTACCACTATAGTAAATTTCATGTGAGTCTCAAACCCATCTCTCTCGATGCACTTTGTATCACATTGCATGACAGACCCTTAGTGAACTGATCTGCCAGATTGTTAGATGTATGAACATAGTCCAACGCTATTACTCCAGAATTTCTCAATTTTCTGATAGATTTTAGTCGTCTCTTAACATGCCTTCTAGACTTCATGTTATCCTTAGAACTGTTAACCTTCGTAATCACAGTTTGGTTATCACAGTTTATAGAAATAGTCGGTATAGGTTTTTCAACAACTGGTAAATCGATAAGAAGATCACGAAGCCACTCAGCCTCAGAGCCAGCGGTGTCTAATGCTATGAGTTCTGCTTCCATTATAGACTTTATTAAGATAGTCTGCTTGTAAGACTTCCAGAAACCACCACCACATCCAAGCGAAAACACATATCCACTTGTGGCATAAAGCTCATCAGCATCAGAGATCCAGTTGGCATCACAATAGTCTTCCAGCACCTTTGGGTGTCCGGTATAACGAATACCATAGCTCATAGTGCCTTTTAGATAGCGCATCACTCTCTTAAGAGCACGCTAGGGATCATCTCCTGGGTTTGACATAAACTGGCTCAGCTTGCACACATCAAATGAGATGTCAGGTCTTGTTGCACTAGCAAGATACATGAGCGAACCAATTATCTAGAAATATCTCAACTGATCCCTTGCTATTCTCCGATTTTTCCTCAATAGCATACTCGGGTCATAAGGTGTAGGAGCAGGTTCACAGTCACTAAACCCAAAGCGACTCAGCACCTTTTCCACATAGTGGGATTGTAATAGAGTTACCCCACCATCACCTTCTCTCAGAAGCTTGATATTAAGAATAACATCAGCTTCTCACAAATCTTTCATTTCAAAATTATTAGATAAAAATTCCATCATCTCCTCAACCACTTTGAGGCTGGATCCAAAGATCAGTATGTCATCAACATATAAGCACAAAATAACTCCTTCACCCCCACCATACCGATAGTACATACATTTGTCAGCTTCATTCACAACAAAGCTAGCAGATGTTAAAGTTCTGAAGAACTTCTCATACCACTGCTTAGGAGCTTGTTTTAGGCCATATAATGACTTTAATAATTTACACACCTTGCCTTCTTGACCATTTGCTACAAACCCATTTGGCTGATCCATATAGATCTCCTCCTCTAACTCTCCGTTTAGGAAAGCTGTCTTAACGTCCATTTGATGAACGATAAGACCATAAGAGGCTGCTAGGGAAAGCAAAACTTAAATTGTAGTCAATCGGGCAACCGGTGAATAAGTATCAAAGAAATCATCACCTTTCTTTTGAGTATAACCCTTGGCCACAAGTCTTGCCTTGTACCTCTCGATAGTACCATCAGGCCTAAGTTTTTCCTGAACACCCATTTGCACCCTATAGGCTTGCACCCATAGAGACGATCAACTATTTCCTAAGTTCCATTAGACATAATAGAATCCATCTCACTCCGTACTGCTTCCTTCCATAAGTCAGCATCAGGAGAGGAATATGCCTCTTCAATGGTCGTTGGTGTGTCATCCACAAGGTACACAATATAGTCGTCACCAAAAGACTTTGCAGTCCTCTGTTTCTTACTTTTTCTAGTGACTATAGTGTCATCCTCCTCAGGATTTTGCATATAGGGTTCCTCAATTTGTTCTATCGGAGTAAAATTTTCATGCTCATGGGGAATTATAAATTCATGACCAGTTGTGCTAGGTGCATTTTTCATAGAAAATTCATTCTAAAAAAATGTAGCGTCTCTAGATTCCATGATTGTATCAATAGCCATCTCAGGAATACTAGAATTTATAATTAAAAATCTATAACTCACGCTGTGAATAGCCTAACCAAGAAAAACACAATCAACGGTCTTTGATCTAAGCTTTTGCTTTTTGTTTATTGGCACATTCACCTTTGCCAAACAACCATAAGTTCACAGTTAAGAGAGATTTAATCTCTTCTTCTCCCAATCCTCGAATGGTGTAATTTCTTTGTTCTTTGTGGCACCCTATTCAGGACATGACACGCTGTCGATATAGCCTCACCCCACTATTCCTTAGATAGTCCCGTAGTCTCTAACATGGCATTAACCAAATCAGTTAGAGTGCGATTCTTTCTCTCTGTAATCTCATTGGACTGTTGTGAGTATGGTGGCATCCTCTCATGAATAATTCCATACACCACGTAAAACTCAGAAAATTCATTTGAGAAATATTCTCCCCCGCGATTTGACCACAAACGTTTGATTTTCTTCTCAAGTTGATTTTTTACCTTAGCTTTATAGACTTTAAAATAATGCAACGCTTCATCTTTAGTTTTCAATAAATACACATAGCAAAATCTAGTACAATCATCTATAAATGTCATGAAGTATCGTATACCGCCTTTAGTCAATTCAGCATTCATTTCGCATAAATCAGAATGAACGAGTTCTAATGGTGCCAAGTTCCTCGCCTCAGCAGCCTTGTGAGGCTTGCGCGGTTGCTTCGATTGCACACACATCTAGCATTTAGAATCTTTGACTAAGTTAAATTTTGGGATTAAATTCAGATTTGCAAGCCGCATGAGACAACCAAAATTAATGTGACAAAGTCGTGAATGCCATATATTCGACTCATCCAAAACATTAACATTGTTCACTACTTTATTACACACATCATCAAGCAAAGATAAACAAAGAAACATCAGCACACACATGAATATTAGCACCACTGTCCATCCATCACTCAGGTGACAAAAAACTGAAAGAACAAAAGGTAAAGAATTAACATACCCAGATGTTCCTCCTCCAGTCTCGCTAATCACCACGTTTGCTGATTTCTTTTCTTGCTTATATTTGCGGTCTAGGCATGCACTTGCCTAATGCTCATCACTCCTGCAAACAAAGCAACCTCCACCTTTCTTATTGTTTTTCTTTTTAAATTGTGCAGTTTGTTTAAGCTTTATATTGTTGTTTTCTTGCATGTTCTTCTTCTTATTACGGGATGCAAATGAGTTTTTCTTCTGCAGCATATCGGCAGCGGAAGACTCAACTCCTTTTTCACGGTTGTCTTTTACTCTCGCCCTCTCCTCAACATCAAGAGATCCAATAAGCTCAGTCACGCTAAACTCTTGTCTCTTGTGTTTTAGAGAAGTAGCAAAATTCCTCTAAGAAGGTGGCAGCTTAGTGATTATACCGCCGGCCACAAACTTATCGGGTAACAGACATGGAAAATGTTCTACTTCCTTTACTAGCGCATGTATCTTATGAGCCTGTTCCACTATAGAACGGTTTTCAACTATTTTGTAGTCATACAACTGCCCCATAAGGTATAGCTCACTACCAGCATAAAAAACTCTAAACTTTGCCTCAAGAGCATTCCATAACTCTTTGCCTGATGTGCAAGATATATAGTTTTTCTCATACTTACTATGAAGTGCACTAATCACGGCGCCTCGAAACAAGTTATCGGCAGCCAAGAACTTTTGCTCCTCCTCAGGAGTAAATTGTTCAGGCTTCCCCTGTGCGGCGTGATAGCAGTTCATAGCAATCAACCACAATACCATCTTGGCACGTCATATCATAAAATTCTTGCCATCAAAATTATTTGGCTTCAAAACAGCAGCAAAACCACTGACAGAAAATTGCCTAACATTAGGTTTTTGGATTGTTAGATAATTAGGCATTTTCATGGTCAATTTAATCCAGAAATAAAACATCAACAGGTTTGTGACGACATATATGTGCATGTGTATATCACTAACAAACGCTACAGCATGCAAGTATGACATACAGATCGATACAGTAAGAACGCAAAGTACGGTAATCACAGAGTTAAGATTGTACGCAGCGGAGGGTCCCATGCCAAGGGCATCGGAGGCTCCATTCGCACTAGTCGACATAGTGCGTTGCCCGAAGTCGTGGACCACAGTCGATACAAGAAGGTGTTCGCAGTGCAGTCCCATGAACGGTCACCGGAAAGAAAGGTTCCGCGAGCGATGACCAGGAAGAAGACGGGTTTCGCGAGCGATCACCAGGAAGAAGACGTCGGACGAGCAGTCGTGGAATCGCTCTCGAAAAACCTAATCGCTGCACACCCCGTGCAAGGTTCGCAGGCGGACAAGAGTTCCGGAGGCATGTGGTCTCTCGGAAGCGAAGCGAAAGATCTGGACTGACGGAGGACTTCAGATTTATGGCTGCGGCAGGGAGGGAGAAAGGCAGCGGAGGAACCCAGGAGATGGAGACACGAAGAGACGGTAACTGGCGCCATCAGTTCGCCTCCACCAAAAAGGAGAGAAACTCCCGTGATTATGTGGATTAAGTGGCAAAACTTGACCACGCCCGCCCGCCTGTCACGCCCCCGGCCCAGCCGGCAGCAGCGGCGCGCGCACGTGTGGCACTCATGTGTCCTTTTGTCAGCTTCTCAATTAAGATGTATAATTTCCAATCAAATAAGCTGAGTAAACGTTCAGTCAAAATCCCATACAATATTAACCCATACAACACTTAATGTTACCTACCATGGCCAGCCCCATAATATATCAAGTTGGGGGTAAATAAATACACTTACGTACGCATTAGCTAACACGCATGCATCACCTGAACGAACAACCTGCTTTTTACTGCTTCCGTGGTCGTCATCTCCGGTTTCATGCTGTAGCATGCAGGCAGGCATACACGAGCCCAAATCAAATGGTGCTCGATCGTGAGTCGTGACCGTACCGTGTTGTACCGTTAGAGCATCAAGGTGTCGCCGTCGACGTCGTTGATCCAACCGAACTTGTCCATGTACGGATTGGCGAGCGTCGCCGGCGGGTAGGCGTCGATGCAGTCGGCCCAGGCTCCCCTGTCGGCCATGTCGCCGGTCACCTCCCACACGCAGCTGTTGCACTTGAACCCGGACCCGAAGGTGACCATGAGCACCCTGTCCCCGACCTTGAGCTGCCCCTTGGCCTCCATGTACGACAGCACGTACCAGAGGCTGCTCGCCGACGTGTTCCCCCACCGGTGCAGCGTCATCCGCGACGGCTCCACGTCCTCGTCCTCCAGGCCCAGGCTCTGCTTCACCGCCTCGATGACGGCCGTGCCGCCGGGGTGGAGGCAGAAGTGGTCCACCCCGGCCTTCAAGTTGATCTTTGGCGCCGCGTCGCCGCCGTTCTGCTGCTTGCCGGATCCGGAGCCCTGCATCTGCGGGAACCGGAAGAAGAGCCTCCGGGCGAGGTGGTGCGCGGTGAACCGCGCGAGCTCGGCGACGGGGAGCACGCGCGGCGCGAGGCGGCGCAGGTTCACGGCGAAGGCGCGCACGGCGGCCTTGGGGAGCGCCTTGCTGAGGCTGATCCCGACGCGGCCCTCGCCGTCCTCCCGCTGCAGCGCGCACGCGTGCGCGTCGTCGCTGGCGCCGATGTTGGCGCGCACCAGGCAGCCGAGCTCCATCTTGGCGCGCCTGCGGTGCGCCGGGTCGTTGGTGACCAGCACCGCGGAGCCGCCGCAGCGGAACAGGCAGTTGGCCAGCATCATGGACTTGTCGGTGCCGGAGTACCAGTTGGGCGCTATGGACTCAGACGACACCACGAGCGCCAGCGCGCGGGGCCGCGTCCGCAGCGCGTTCCGGGCCAGGTCCAGCGCGATGAGCCCCGCGCTGCACCCCATCCCCGTGAGGTTGTACGCCGCCACGTCCTCGCGCAGGCCGTAGCGGCGCACGATCCGGGACGACAGCGACGGCGACGGGGAGAGCATGGAGACGTTGAAGACCAGCACGTCCACGTCGCGCGGCGCGAACCCCGTCCGGGCGAAGAGCTCGGCGATGGCCTCGTCGAAGAAGGAGTCCATCTCCTCCAGCGAGTCCTGCAGGGTGGGCGTGTCCTCGCGGCCCTCCAGGATGTTGCGCGGGGCGTAGGTCTCCTCGCCGATGCCGGAGCGGACGATGACGCGGAGGAGGAAGCGGTAGTCGGTTAGACCCAGCCGCACGTTGCGCTGGATCACGTCGCCGGCCGTCTCCGTCGACAGCTTCCGGTCGTCGCGGGGCTTGTGGCACACGTAGTCTAGGAGGTAGCACCGCGACTGCCGGCGGCGTGCGGCGGCCGTCCAAGCCAGGTACGCCATGGCGTGCGCAAGGATGACCCACGTGAGCAGAGGAAGCAGCTCCATCGATCAGTGGATCTTGCTGGATTGGTTCTCTTGGTGCTTGAGCTACTAGGCACGTTGGTCTGGCACCATAAGAAGAGAAGTTGACTGTGTGATTACTTGCATGCTTATAGTGTGTTTATATAGGCGCCGCGCGCGCGTCGAGCCCGGCTCCGCCAGAGGAGCTGGGCCAAGGGGCCTGGCTCAGACGAACACGGGCTTTGCTGGGCTATTTTGTACTTTCGACCAACCTTTTAGGTATTCTTTATTTTTGCTCAAAAAAAGGTATTCTTTATTTTTTTTCTAATTATCGATAATTTCATACTAGAAAATACTGGTAACTTTGAGCTGCCACAGGCTTCCTGCAACTGTTCAGATAGCAGCACTCATTTACTGTGATTCAGTTAAGAGTTAGATCTAATTAAAGGAGAGACTCTAGTCGCAGATAAAGTAACTTTGACCACATCTTTTATTTTGAAATCCGCTTATATTCAGCATGTTCGCTCGCTGGTTTCAGCCAGGGCTTACCAGCCAGTCAACAGTATTTTCCTCTCACAACAAGCCAGCACCAGCCGGGCTTATCAGCCCAGAAACCAATCAGCGAAGAGGGCAAATCACATACCTGATATTAGACACCTCCGGCTCCTCTTTATTCTATTGAAAAACAGCTGTGAACGGCTCCTCTTAAACCGTTTGGTATGGCTCCTTGGGTACATATCATATTGACTGTTCATAAGTTTTTTTTCCAAGACTATTGGTTTAAGCGAGAACGACTTGTCAGAGCATCTCTAGCAACTTGATAAAACCACTCTCTAAAACTGATTTTTGCTCGTAGAGGTCAAAAGCCAAAGTCCAACAACTCCCTATCAATGGTTGCCCATTTTCCGCGCGGCGTAAAACGCTGCTATGACACATCAAAGTTTGCGCCACGATAGGGTACGAATTCATCTATCGCGTGATCTAGGGGGTGTTTGATCCAGAACTAAAGTTTAGTAGATGTCATATCGGGTATTTATGTACTAATTAGAAAGACTAAACATGAGTGTAATTAGACTTAATAGATTCATCTCGTAAATTAATCTCAATCTGTGCAATTAGTTTTGTAATTAATCTACGTTTAAAACTCCATGCATATATCAAGCATTCAATATAACATGGAGTAAATTTTAGTAGGTATAACCATGTCATGCGGCCACCGACCTCAATGTGTCCCTGAGGTACGCCGGCCTCCTTCCTTTCCACCATTTTTCCATCTCAAACCCGGTGTGGCAGCTGTTTGGTGAAAATTTCTTCGACTGTTATCTTCAAAATACGACATGCCTAGAAACGTGTCTATTGAATCTGCAAGTAAGAATATAAAAACGTTTCCCTTCTGATACCTTTTACCTTTTGGCTAGCTGTGTTTTCTGAGAATTTTTTTTCCAGTTGTTACAAAAAGCTCTTACAGAGATTATTTACGGCAACGGGGGTTCCCTCTGCACAGGCTTTGGAAAAAAAAGGACGTCTTAAAAAAATCTGTTTGTAGCAGTGAATTCATCAGAACATACAAAAATAGCTTAGAATCTAAGTTTGAAACAGTTAAAGTTAAGATAACCCTAAGACTTCGCTTCACTTTTTATGCTTGTGGAGGTAGTAGAAAGTGAATTCGCATGCGGTGCACAGAGAGGAAGTTCTATATATGTCATTTGTGCAAATTAATCTTAAAGTTATTAAAAACATAATGTCTTTCTCAGGTCAGTCTCAGCCCATGCCTTTTAGGTATTCTTTATTTTTGCTCAAAAAAAGGTATTCTTTGTTTTTTTTTCTAATTATCGATAATTTCATACTAGAAAATACTGGTAACTTTGAGTTGCCACCGGCTTCCTGCAACTGTTCAGATAGCAGCGCTCACTTATTGTGATTCAGTTAAGAGTTAGATCTAATTAAAGGAGAGCCTCTAGTCGCAGATAAAGTAACTTTGACCACATCTTTTATTTTGAAATCTGCTTATATTATCTCACATAACTGAAATTAGACACCTCCGGCTCCTCTTTATTCCGTTGAAAAACAGCTATGAACAGCTCCTCCTATTAACCGTTTGGTATGGCTCCTTGCGTACATATCATATTGCCTGTTCATAAGTTTTTTTTCCCAAGACAATTGGTTTAAGCCAGAACTGACTTGTCAGAGCATCTCTAGCAACTTGATAAAACCACTCTCTAAAACTGATTTTTGCCGAAGAGGTCAAAAGCCAAAGTCCAACAACTCCCTATGGTTGAGTTTGCGCCACAACAGGGTAGGAATTCATCTCTCGCGTGATCTAAGGGGTGTTTGGATCCAGGACTAAAGTTTAGTAGATGTCATATCGGGTATTTAGGTACTAATTAGAAAGACTAAACATGAGTCTAATTAGGTTTAATAGATTCGTCTCTTAAATTAATCTCAATCTACGTAATTAGTATTGTAATTAGTCTACGTTTAATACTCCATACATATGTCAAACATTCGATATGTCAGGGACTAAATTTTTAGTAGGTGAAACCATGTCATGCCGCCACCAACCTCAATGTGTCCATGAGGTACGTCGGCCTCCTTCCTTTCCACCATTTTCCCATCTCAAACTCGGTATGGCAGCTGTTTGGTGAAAATTTCTTCAGCTGTTATCTTTAAAATACGACATGCCTAGAAACGTGTCTATTGAGCGATCCTAAAAATGATCTGCAAGTAAGAATATAAAAACGTTTCCCTTCTGGTACCTTTTACCTTTTGGCTAGCTTAAAAACAGTGTTTTCTGAGAATATTTTTTCCCAGTTGTTACAAAAGCTCTTACAGAGATGATTTACGGCAACGGGGCTTCCCTCTGCACAGGCTTTGGAAAAAAAAGGACGTCTTAAAAAAATCTGTTTGTAGCAGTGAATTCATCAGAACATACAAAAATAGCTTATAATCTAAGTTTGAAACAGTTAAAGTTAAGATAACCCTAAGACTTCGCTTCACTTTTTATGCTTGTGCAGGGAGCTGTAGAAAGTGAATTCGCATGCGGTGCACAGAGAGGAAGTTCTATATATGTCATTTGTGCAAGTTAATCTTAAATTTATAAAAAACATAATGTCTTTCTCAGGTCACTCGCAGCGAATAATTTCATGACGCTGTTTCCAAAAATGACATGTCATATAAAATGAATGCTGCCCTCTGCGACCTACGCGGGAGGGTGATGGATCGGAAACGGTGGCCCATGCACCGCCCATCCATAAGTGATCGAAGGATACAGTCTGGTGGCGTGGCGGCCACCGGAAACAGGTTAATGCGCATGGTTTTCGGTTGCCCGTTTGGAGATCGCAGCAGGCTGACGTGGACGAAGCTCTGGCGGCCGTGCTCCGACGAGCCACGGTATGTCATGTGTGAATGTGAACTAGCTAGCTCTCGGTTTCCTGCTCCGTTGCTTGTGTGCCGCATAGCCTAATCAGTATTTATCAGCTAAGGATACGTACGTATGTGACGTCGTCACCGTGTGTGTCCTTCCTTGTGCCAAGGTACGACGATGCCGCCACCGGGAGCGCCGCCTCTGGCGGACGCCGCGAAGAGGAGCTTCGAGATGGGCAAGGAGACGGTGGAGCAGGCGGCGGCGTCCACTGCAAGGGCCACGCGGGACGCCGCTGAGACGGCCAAGGAAAAGGTGAAGGGAGCAGCCTCGCCGTCCGACGGCGCTGAGCTCTCAGCCTGTTCCTCGTATTTGGTTTATAAGACACGACTTATCAGCTAACGAATAGTATTTTTCTCTCATACCAAATCAGCTAATAATACTTTCAGTCATGGCTTAGCTGCTAAACAAGCCCAAACGAACAGCCCCGTTCGCTTGGCTGAATTTGGCTGAAAAATACTGTTCCGGCTGAATTGTTGTGAGAGAAAAACACTATTCCAAATAAAAAAAAAACCGAATAAGTCGGCTTTTAAGGTAAGCCGACGGGGCCAAAGACTGTACCGCACATGTGACATGTCCCATATATGTACACCAGTCTTCCCTACAGTGACTAGTCTAGTGTACTAGTGCATAGGCAGCGTAGGCGCTGAGTTCGGCGTGACTTATTGCTGATATGCCTGATTTATAGAGCTGATTTGTTATAAAAGAAAAACATTGCTCCATGACTAAAAAAAGTAGGATTGATTCTGGTTTATAAGCTCAACCCAGAGCCATAATGCTGTTGCGATTGGTATGTGAGCTGAGTTCTGGATTTCCGCCTGGATCAGTCCGCTTGTTCGTCATAGGCCCTGTTTGGATACTCACTAGAGGTTAGAGTTAGTTTCTAGATTGGTATGTAACTCTAGCCTAAGAGAGTTTGGATACAAGGGTTAAAATGATAATAAATGTGCTTTCCAAATCGGATCGGGTGAAAGTAGAGAGAAAAGCAGTGGACCCCACCTCAAATAGCCCTAACTAGCCCAAATAATCACCTCTTTGGGGGATAATTTTTTTTTTTGGCTAGTTGCAAATCCACTCTAGCCCTCTGAGGACTTTAGATGTCAACTAGCTCTAACCCATGGATGCCATAGTATAAGTCTTCAGTTCGAGAGGAAGATGTCAAACCTGGCAGAGATGAAATAAAGTCTTAGTTCATCCCTGTCCTATTAAATGTTTTAGATATATACATAAAATATTATATATAGACTAAAAAATAACTAATTATAAAGTTTGCGACTAATTTGCGAGACGAATTTTTTAAATCTAATTAGTCCATGATTTGATAATGTGATGCTACAGTACACACATGCGCTAATAACAGATTAATTAAGTTTAATAAATTCGTCTCGCGGATTTCTAACGAATTCTGTAATTTATTTTTTTATTAGTATCCGAACTATCCATACGATACCCCGTATGACACTTGATATGATATCCTGAATTTAAACAAAACCTAAAAGCAAAAAAATGCGTGACAGATAGCAAATGCTACTACACCACTTCTCAGGACTGAATTGTGGCAAGAGCTAGTTTTGCAAGAGGCCGAAATGGTCAAGGCAAGATCAGTCCAGAGACGATGAGCCTT